ATGAGGAACTCTGCGCCTGTGTTCTCTGGGCCTTCCCCCAAGGACGTGGGGAAGTCAGCTAAGGAATCTTCCTGTTTTCTGTGCCTTTGATACAGGTTATTATGCAAAGCTTGGTTTATATAGCTCAACACAAGTAAACAAAATCAAGTGTTGTTATTAGGATAAAAATCCTATGCCTGGTTCATTTATCCCTACAATTAAATTCTTTTTTATTTTTGAGACAGAGTCTGTGTCACCCTGGGTAGAATGCTGTAGCGTCACAGCTCACAGCAACCTCAAACTCTTGGGCTTAAATGATTCTCTTGCCTTAGTCTCCTAAGTAGCTGGGACTATACGTGCCTGTCACAATGCCCAGCTATTTTTTGTTGGAACTGTCATTGTTGTTTAGCTGGGCTGGGCCAGGTTCAAACCCACCATCCCCAGTGTATGTTGCCAGCAACTATGGCGTCACAGCTCACAGCAACCTCAAACTCTTGGGCTTAAATGATTCTCTTGCCTTAGCCTCCTAAGTAGCTGGGACTATACGTGCCTGTCACAATGCCCAGCTATTTTTTGTTGGAACTGTCATTGTTGTTTAGCTGGGCTGGGCCAGGTTCAAACCCACCATCCCCAGTGTATGTGGCGGCACCATAACCACTGTGCTATGGGCACCGAGCCCCTGCAGTTAAACTCTTTTTTTTTTTTTTTTTTTGGTTGCAGCCATCCTTGTTGTTTGGCAGTCCGGGCTGGATTCGAACCCGCCAGCTCAGGTGTATGTGGCTGGCGCCTTAGGTAGTTGAGCCATAGGCGCCGAGCCTGCAGTTAAACTCTTGTGGCATGGTAGACTGAAAGTGAACAAGATCAGGATGTACCCAGGCTGCCTATTAGTGGAATATGGCCATAACTTTTCAGCAGCCACGGTAAAGCCCTTGACGGATGAGATTAAGTTTTGGCCACAAAGCTTCTCTTAGGATTTTAAGGCACTACAATTTACTGTTTCTTGAGAACCCAGGTGGCTTATATCAGTTCTAAGAACACAAGTGTCTACATTACTACCATTATTTCTTCCTGACAGGGCTCCATCTTCTGAAGGGAAAACAACCACTTTGCCTCACTTAAGGTAAATCTCAACCAGAAACACAGGCAGATACTGCACAAAGTTAGTGCTTATTTGCCAAACACAAGACATCACAATAATATGCACTTGGTATCCCCTCTGGGGGTAAAGGGGAGGGAAGCCACTACACAGTGCTGAGGGATGTGCCCCAGCACGGAAAGGACAGAACAAGGAACGAGCAGCAAAGTCTGTGTCTACATCCCCTTCCACCCAGCCTGCCCCACCCAGCAAAACGCAGAGATGAAAAATTCTGCTACTGTTAGAAAGTCCCCACCTCTGAGACCTTCGAACTATCTGTGCTCCCCCACGGACACTGCCTAAGTAAGAGACACTGAGATTAGACTTCAGCAGTATTATGAATCCATTTACTGTTTTAGTAAGAAGGCTTTTTTCCCCCAATAAGAACAAGCAAGCCAATGTTCTCTGTAGCAAACAGACAAGAAAGGATGTTGCTTAAAGAAAATAAGACCTCTATAATCCCTACCCCCCGGAGGCACAAGAACCCAGACAGACTGATGCTGATACACTCAACCACTGTGGGAAATTTTTAAATTAAATAGCAGGGCAACTTCAGTGAGTGAAGGAACAGTCAGGTGATGTAATAGGCTACTAACGGAGCCTTTCCTCATTCGAGGGGATACAGAATGGACTCCCCATTTCAATATAAGCAGCAGTGAAAAGAACAACAAAATCAATATGGCCCTCCAGGAAGCAGACTCTGAGCAGTTACTTGCAAATCAAAGGACTTCTCCAGCTGGGGCCTGCGGCTTCAGGGTGGGCAGATGAATGACAGCCTGTGATTGGGGAGAATTTGCTGCCTGTGAGACTGTGGCTTTACTTTGTCAAATCTGTTCCCACCTGCGCAGTCTCCACAGCCTGCCTTTGGCTTTTGGGGGCTTCTTCCTACTTGCAATTTCAGACATTGGCATCATTACAGTACCCCCTTCCCTGGCTGGGCTGTGCTCAATAGATAAGCGTGAATTTGGTTTAACGTGGGATCACTGCAATGTGGAAATTACAGGAAGACGGGGACAGGGGCGGCGGGGGGGTAACCAATTCTCGTTTCTCCTCTCCTCAGTTTCAGCAGTGGGTTATCAGTGGGGTGGCTCGGAGTCATCAGTCCAGGCTTCACCCAGCTCCAGTCAACTCCACTACACTCACGCACACACACCTGCACACACACGCACACAGGGCTGGGCAGGAACAGGAATGCACATGGCTGTCACACACACACACCTGTACACGCACATGGGCCTGGGCAGGAACAGGAATGCACACGGCACTCACGCACACACACCTGCACACGCACACGGGGCTGGGCAGGAACAGGAACGCACACGGCACTCACGCACACACACCTGCACATGCACACAGGCCTTGGCAGGAACAGGAACGCACATGGCTCTCACACACACACACCTGCACACGGGCCTGGGCAGGAACAGGAATGCACACGGCACTCACGCACACACACCTGCACATGCACAGGGGCCTTGGCAGGAACAGGAACGCACACGGCACTCATGCACACACACCTGCACATGCACACGGGCCTGGGCAAGAACAGGAATGCACACGGCACTCACACACACACACAGTATCACTCTTTAAACCTGTTACCCCAACAGAGCAGTGGGTAACCCTTCGTCAATTAAAACTTGTTTCTTAATTTTTTTAGAGACAGGGTCTCACTCTGTTGCCTGGATTAGAGTACAAGGTGCATCATAGCTCACTGCAGCCTGGAACTCCTGGGGTCAAGCCATCCTCCTGCCACAGCCTCTTAAAAACTGAAACTGTATGTGTCTGCAACACCATACCCAGCTAATTTTTATTATTATTATTTTTTTTTATAGAAACAGGGTCTTATTATGTTGCCCAGGCTGGCCTCAAACTCCTAGCCTCAAATGATCCTCATGCCTGGGTCTCCCAAAGTGCTGGGATGTGAGCCACTGCAATACCACAGAATATAACTGTATTTGGAGACAGGGAAAATTGCTGAAGAGGAAATTAAATTAAAGTAAACACTTCATGGTGAGCCCTACTCTAACCTGACTAACATCCATTTAAAAAGAGGAGATCAGAACCCAAGGGGTGGCAACGTGATGTCACCAGGGGAAGAGGGCGGTCTACAGGCTGAGGAGAGAGGCCTTCAGGAGAAACAACCCTGCTCACACCCTGGTTTTGGCTTTCCAGCCACCATAACTGTGAGAAAATTCATCTCACTCTGTGTGCCCAGTTTGTGGGCCTCTGCTGGGAGGTGGGCAGCAGCTGCGCCTGAGCAGAGGGCTCCCTGGCTTAAAGCTTCCTGGTGCTCTGAGAAAGAACACTCTCTGGAAACGTCTGCCCGATGCTGTAGCAGAGGATGGGTTTGTGGTGTGGCTTCTCTGGCCCACCACCTCCACCCCACACTCAGCTCCCAGGGGAAGGTGCCCCCATCCACCCAGCTGCCCCACCCAGAGATCTAGGAGGTCTGATCCCTGGTCACCCTGCATCCCCACATCCAGCCACCACCATGTCCTATAGACCCCAACTCCCAAGTGTGTCTCAAACCTGGCCACTGTGCGAGGCCTCCCCTGCTACCGACCATCTTGGCCCAAGTCAGAGCACTTTCCCTTGAGAAGCACTGACAGATGCTGACCCCCACCCTCACCCTCGGGGACTTCCTCCCCTACAGACAAGGCAGGGAGGAGTCACAGACACCGTGCAAATGCACAGAGGTGGTGACCTGGTCAAGATGCTCCCAGCTGGCAGACTCCAGATTCTTGCCCAGTTCTATCCAATTCCTGCCCTGCCCCAGTTTGTACTCTGTCTTAGGAGTTGGACACTTTACCCACAGAACCTGCAAGACCATGCCCTTCTCCCTGGTGACTGGAACGACCTCCTGACCAGCACCTTGCCTCCACCAGGTCCCTGTACAGCCACCAGCACAAACTTTCTCCACCATGTCACCAGCCTGCCCCCTCCCTAGGTCACAAGCCTTTGAAGCTTCACAGATCTCACCTCATCTCCACATACTCAACCTCATCCAGCCCTCACAAGATCCTCAGGCAGGACGATGGATGGCCTTTTGGCATCTTACGCCAGCAACACTTTCTGAAAACTGTGCCCATTTCAAAACTTGTATATCTGAAGATGAATTTTGTAACGAAATGGTATATTTCTGTTTTTCTGCCATTTTGCAAGAGCACAAAAAATACTCTGCATTTCATCATCACCAGCTCTAAAACAATTTGATTCTTAAAAAACTGTTTAGTTTGGCTCGGCGCCTATAGCTCAACCGGCTAAGGCGCCAGCCACATACACCTAAGGTGGCAGGTTCGAATCCCCAGCCCGGACCCGCCAAACAACAATGACGGCTGCAACCAAAAAATAGCCGGGCGTTGTGGCGGGCGCCTGTAGTCCCAGCTACTTGGGAGGCGGAGGCAGGAGACTTGCTTGAGCCCAGGAGTTGGAGGTTGCTGTGAGCTGTAATGCCATGGCACTCTACCTAGGGGGACAGCTTGAGGCTCTGATTAAAAAAAAAAAAAAAAAAAAAACTGTTTAGTTTGAAGGGGCTTATATTGCTTCAAAGGTAAAGCATAAAGAGAGGCAGCTTTTGTTTGGTTTTGTTTTGGTGTCATGCTAATCTGAGTTGTTCCATCATGTCTCAGCTCAGCCATGGAGGGCTAGCCTGGGAACTGGGTCATCCACAGAGTTCAGGGGTAGGAGACGCTGGGAGGGAAGGGGGGAGACCTTGTGTCCTAAATCTCAGTCAGTGACCACCCAGCAGTGCCCTTTTGGGCAATGCTGAATTATATGCATGCCTTAGCTGTCTTTAGTGAGTGCACATACATTTCATCTTGACAACAGCTCTGTCACTCTGACGCGGCCACTTAAATAAACGGTGCTGTCTTAATGTCTCTAGGTACAAAGCAGCAATAGTAAACTTGTATCTATCTTCAACGGAGGAAAATCCCCCAAACACCCATGTTACGTGTGCAGAGCTGCTCGGTGTCTGCGCAGTGAAAGGGACGGGTCCTTCTCCGTGAAGCTGAGAGGTCTACGCCATGGCTGCCAGGGAAGAGCACTTCCACCCGATCCTGAGGACTGTCCTGGCAGCACCTGTCAGGAACCACTGACTAAGTGATGATAAAGAGCTCAGAGGACACACAGCTTGACCAGGTGTCTACCAGGCACCTTTCTACAACCAAGTAAGTGTCCAACACAGGGGGCGTTCAGACACTGCTGAAGTGTGTGCTGCATCAGCCAGACAGGTGCTCCGCTCATGGCCGTGGGGACTGAAGCAGCACTGCTTCATCAGGTCTGCCCTGAGCTTGTAAGAGGTCGCCAGCATTGCCAGGGAGAGTCTGGACATGGAAGCATCATTCTTCAGGAGTTCCCGTCTGATAGAGTAACACTAGCTCCTCTCAGACCATCAAATGACGAGGCTCTACAACTTGTGAACTCAACATAATTCTGTATGTAAGAACATTATTACGTGGATTTATTAACTTGCAAAGGTTTGTAAATCATCTCCCCTCACAGCATGCAGCAGTATTAAAAGGCAAAGACATCAGGCTTAATACAATTTTATTATTCTTTCTGAGTATCTTCACTTTAGAAATATGTGATGTACACAATTTGTTCATGAATTGGCTGCTGGAATGCAACTATGGTTTGTCACAGAAATCACACTGTAACTAGTGGTTAGATCTCAGGCTAAGCCACAGGACCCTAATTAATCCCCAGCACAAATGAATGTACTATTTCAACTTCTTAAGGGTTACAATCAGGCTTCCTTCTCTCAATGACTGGCTTACTTTCCCAGCAGACTATATTTGAGATGTCTGTTATTATTGCCAGAGTTTGTGTCCTTTCTCCTTCTCAAAACCCTTCTTATTAGCAAGCATGGAAACAGAACCACTATTTCTACCCATAGGTAGCAATGATCAGAAGGGAATTCAATACACCAGAGGAGAGAAATGCATTATGCACAGTAATAAGTATATTAAATGCATTTGATTGCAGGGTCGGTAGAGGTATAATTATGTGATTATCTACACTTAGAAATAACTATTTATTACGTTAACAGAAGCAAAATACACTAAATTCATGGATTTAGGATAACATAGCCCTTATCTGTGAAGAAGCAGGGTAGATAAAGACAAAGGGTCTGGAGGTGGGTTACATTCTCGAGACCCCCAGGAAGTGAGGTGAGCCAATCACCATTTGAGTTTGATTAGGCATATTGGTTCATTTGTGTTGCTATAAAGAAAATACAGGAGGCTGGGTAACCCAGAAGGAAAAGTGGTTTCTTTGGCTCACTGGTCTGCAGACTGTGCTTCTGCTGGGGGCTTCAGGGCACTTCTGATCAAAGGGAAGGTGAAGGGGGAGCAGGCGTGTCACGTGGAGAGGGCAGAAGCAGGAGGGGGAGGAGACGGTGGGTGTCAGGCTCCTTTAAACAACAGCTTTCAACCACCAGCGTGAACTAATAAATTGAGAACCCGCTCATTACTGTGGGGAGGGTAGCGCATCACTCATGAGGGACCCACCCCATGACCCAAATGCCTCCCACCAGGCCCTGCCTCCAACACAACGCTGATGATCAGCTTCCATCACGAGACTTGGAGGTGGCCAAACATCTGAACTGTGTCACCAAATGAGGCAAGTAATTCTGCTAGGTCGCTCGGAAATGCAATCCATACATACACCAGCCGTTGTTCAAGAGACCTGTGGATGTGCCCAGCGCAGTAAGTACTCCCCCGCCTTACTGCACCCTGATTAGGTAACTGGGCCCCTCCTCACACTAAGACTATTTTAGTGAGTGAAACTCCATCAAAGAAGGGAACTGTAACCAGGAGAGAGGTGTCGTGGTCTTGCCAGTTCTGTGGTGCAAGAGGCATGGGTCAGGTTTGTGAGAAAGTGAAACAGAGGACAGAGGGTGAGCTCGCTGAAAGGAGCTGGGTGGGAAGCAGACAAGACGTCAGAGTGTGCTGAGCAGGTCAGCACTGAGCATGCCTGCTGCCTTGTTTGCTGGTGAGGTTGCCACCACTGTGGACAAAGAGGGTATCTGTGATCCCCACCCTTGCCATCCTCAACCTGCCTGTCACCATCTCTGCACCCGAAAAAGCCCCAGAGGAAGTCCAGAACTTTCTAGATGGGAGGATGGTATGTGGAGGATCAATCACATCTCATTAGTTCTTTAGGGAAACCCGCTCTGATTCCCAGTCCAGGGCACTATAAGTTCAGTTATGCCTCCAGCCCTGGCACGCCCAAACCAAAGTGGTAAAGATGGCTCCGGGGACAAAGGGAACACCTGGGAAGGACACTTGGGATATTATGACAAGGTTAAATGTTGGGACATTGCAAGGTTAAAGGTTAAGATATTCAAATTTGCCTAGACTAAACATAACCTGATCAGCTTAAAAGTTCATGGAATAGGCTCGGCGCCTATAGCTCAACCAGCTAAGGCGCCAGCCACGTACACCTAAGGTGGCGGGTTTGAATCCCCAGCCCGGACCCGCCAAACAACAATGGCAGCTGCAACCAAAAAATAGCTGGGTGTTGTGGCGGGCGCCTGTGGTCCCAGCTACTTGGGAGGCGGAGGCAGGAGACTCGCTTGAGTCCAGGAGTTGGAGGTTGCTGTGAGCTGCAATGTCACGGCACTCTACCCAGGGGGACAGCTTGAGGCTCTGTCTCAAAAAAAAAAAAGTTCATGGAATAGTATACTCAGATTTTTGCAAACTCAGGGGAGAAATTAAGAGAAAGAATCCCATAGACTGTACCTTCAATTTGTCCTGGTTAATAGTCATTACTGCCAAAAAAGATGGGGAATCAGATTATGCTGTCCATTTGTTGGTGGTGCAGAAGGCAGAAAACGGTGCTGGAGTAGCCCTGGAAGCAGAGGCTCTACAACTGATTCCATGAAGCCACTGAGCAAAACAACTCGAGGAAAAACAGGGCATTATGATTAGGGAGACTGAGAGAGCAGGAGCCAGTTTAAAACCAGAGCGGAGCCTTCCAGTTAAAGAAAGTGGATTGAAAACTCCCATTTAGCTCCGGCCCCTACAAATGCCACTGCAGAGACAGTTCACCCTCAAGGACAGAAACACGGGAGAGGAGAAGACAGCCACAGACTCCGGGAGCCAGGCAGCAGATGGACAGGGGTCCCGGGCTTAGCTGACTTTAGAATGTTAACTGTTCAGCAAACAGCGAGATAGGTCGAGAGTCGCCTGACCTGGTGCAACCAGTCTGGAGAACTCTTTGGTCATATTTACCAAAGACTAAACCATATCACCCCAATGACCCAATGATTCCGCTCCTCAGAACATACCCCAGGAGGCCAGGCGTGGTGGCTCACACCTATAATCCCAGTACTCTGGGAGGCCGTGGTGGGTGGATCACTTGAGCTAAGGAGTTTGAGACCAGCCTAGCACCATCTGAGACCCCATCTCTAAGAACAGCTGGGCATTGTGGTGGATGCCTGTAGTCCCCAGCTACTTGGTAGGCTGAGGCAAATGGGTCACTTGAGCCCAAGAGTTAGAGGTTGCTGTGAGCTGTGATGCCACAGCACTCTACCCCAGGCAGTGGAGTGAGACTGCCCCCCCCACAAAAAATATATATATACACACATATATATACCCAAGGCAATGAATGCATAGGTCTATTCACGAACAAGAATATTCTTACTGGCTTTATTTATAATAGCCCCCACATAAAAATCACCCAGACACCGACGGAGGGTGGAATGGTCAACAGGCATGAGATGAGACATCACACAGCAGTAATAGAGAAGCGGACGTGGCCACTATGCACAGCAGAAGAAGCCAGAAGATGACCGTCCACGCTCTACGATGCCGTTTTTTGATGTTCAAGATCAGGCAAAACCAATCTGCCGCACTGATGGGACGTCTGCTGAGAGGAGCGTGAGGGCGCCTCTGGAGTCCAGCAGACCCTCAGCCAGGGGGGTGGTCAGGGGCTTCCATGTGTCCCAGCTTTCCACTTCAGATTCACTGCATTTTGCTTTATGTGAAACCTCGATTTTTAGGTTTTCTTGGAAATGGGAGTAAAAGGAGAGCTGAAGTACAAAGATGTTTTTATTTTTGGCAGTTTTTGGCTGGGGTCGGGTTTGAACCCGCCACCTCCGGTATATGGGGCCAGCATCCCCATCCTTGAGCCACAGGTGCTGCCCACAAAGATGTTTTTAAATGGCAAGAATCTGGACTACTGTCCTCACTCTGGCAGGAGACAGGAACTTTAGTTTTTGAAAAGAGTAAAGAAAGGGATTCTGAGAGCAGGCAGGCCAGCCAGGGCAGGGGTCCCATAGTGAGGACAAGGGGCTTAAGAGGAGAGGTTTCACCCAGGTGTCAGAACATAGCCTTTCCCTCCACTGGGCTCCCACAGCCCTTGGAGTGAAACCAGCTATGCAGAGCCGCCCTCCTGCAGGCCTCTTCTCCAGGGAAACTGAGAGCCAAAGAAACCACCTAAAGACACTAATATGAGTGAAACAGGGAGCTTTCACCACCCTATGGTGAGGACAGCAGGCAAGAAGGGCACCCTCCCCCACATTCATCAGCTTCGTGTGCTGCATTCTTTAAGCATTGCACTATGACACTGGCAGCCAAGGATCATTAGATACCTGGGAAAAGTGTCTCATACAGGCTC